TTTAATATATATATATATATATATATATTGAATCTATGTTTCAATATACAGCTATTCTTTTATTAGTTAAAAATAATTTTCTGTTCCTAATTTTTTAATTCAATTTCTTATTTTTATTCATTGCGTTTGAACTCTTATACACTCAAATATATATTAGATTTTTCCAATACTGCAGTGAACAAAAGCGTCTCATCTAACACATTTCTAGTAATGTAGTGTCTATGAATGATACGTGAAATTTGTCATAAGATTTGTTAATTTATATACAAATATATATATACGAAAGAAAGGGTTTGTAACATTTATATAATACATGATATATAACTCCGTGTGTATATATATGATCAGATTTATTTTTCCTGAGGTTTACCTGCAATCTTCGATTGTTTTCTGCAGTTTTCTGGTAGCTTCGACTGACGTGTTTCATCTCATCTTTCTGCTCTCACTTGCCTTTCTCAGCGTATGTCATTTATTCTTATCATACTTAATAGCACAATCAAGCATACATTTAATTGTAATTAAGCTATTTTATGATTTATGAGATAATTTATTGATAATTATATTTTAAAAACAATTTTTTATTATATATCGATTAAAAAATAATGGATTTATTTGAAATATGCGCTATCATTAATCATTGTATAATTAATTATAATATGTATATTGCTTGTTTTTGTGCATTTTCTCATCTCGATATTTTACATTTATTTTATACTTTAAATTGTACTGATTTTTCACGAATTTTTAATTTGATCGATGTAAAAATTATATAAATTATTCCATGAAAGTTTTTATAAAGTATAAATAATATCGATACAATTTAATTTTAATTAAAATAAAAGTATTATATTTAAGATTGATCCGTTTTCTGAAATTAATTCAGGAAGCGGGATTAATAATAAAGGATTAATAATGAGATATAATTAATGATGATCGAATACTTATAAAATATTCACGTAAAAGTTAATAAAATATGGTTATAGAAAAAAAGAAATGAATATTTCTAAGATATTAGAATGAATTGTAATAAGATATGAGCTCGTCAAGCAAGGGTGCAATTATGATCGGGTGAAAATAATGATAGACGTCGCAGTGAAATCGAATAGTAAATCGTTTATTAGTACGAAGGTGTGTGATAGTGTCTCGAGATTGCCACCACGGCGGACACTTTCTGATTGAAAAATGCCAGACCGCGGCAGTGTGATGCCGTGACGTGAACGAGTGTGACAGAGCTTTCTTGTTCCTTAGCTGACGTAAGAGATAGGTGTTAGAGCTAGTTACCCTGTTCTGCGAGCTGGTGCTTCGCCTTGTCGTCGCCACCGCTGCCGCCGACTTCGAGTCCTCCGCGAGGACTTTCCACGGGGGAAGGTCCTAAGGATCTTCCCAAGGATTTTCCTCGTGGAGAGTCGACTATTCTATCCATCGCGAATAATGGAACTCGGGATGCTCAGTGATATCCCGGATATCCGCGTATCGATTGGATTACCCCAGTTCGATCGAACTTCACCGATGGGGTCTCGCGTTGACCAAGTCGTTCGCGTCCCTCGACTAGTAAATTCGAGCTGAATTGTTGATGAAGTTAGATCGGACTAGGTTTAGACCGAGATCTAATCCGTGTCGTAACCGGACGATGTGGCGAAACGCACTTTTACCGCTCTCGATACAGCATTGAACAAATAAATTTTATGATCAGATTATAGTATATTGTTGTTGAAATGTTGTCGAAAGTGGTAGCTAAGTTTCTTCTGGGGTTATTTCTTCGATGCAAATATCATATTCGCGAAAACTATCGTTTGGAAATTGAAAATCAGATGATCGGATGGTTTATATACTTTTAAATGGAAATTTGTGAGAATAAAGCAAGGGATTCTAGGGCTTTAGGATTCTAGTATAAAATATAATTGTATGTTTATTTTCCAAAATTGAAGATTCTCTTGCTGGTGACTTCGACGTGAGATTGATGATCCATAGAGTTTCGTTAAGATTTTGGCGCTAAACGTGCGCTTCTAGAGCACGTGTTCAGAGCATTGATCATCATTTCTGAGCATCCCCGGCGCGACGGAAAGGCGAAACGCCCGTGCGAGCTAACTTTCAAAGAGATGCTACTTGTTACCTCCTCTCGAGGTACTCTAGTGCCTATGTTATTGTGTCCTCTGTTCTGCCTAGAGCGCTAAAATCGCCGCTAAAAAGCGGCGGTACTAAAATGGGGGAAGGGGGGCTGCTGAGGTGGAGCGACGGGGGCAAGGTAAATCCCCTGTCCTCTCGGAGAACGCAACAATAAAATCGTAATAATAATAATAATAATAATCTCGCGACTCGTATACGCGTTCGAAAGGTAAGGAAACGTCGTCTATCTCTAACTTTCGTTCGTGCATTCTCTTCTTTATTTCTTTCTTTTTTTTCCCCCCTCGTCTCTCCTTTTCCCTGCAATTTTTTATCCTCTCTCACTCTTGTTTTCTTTTTCACTCACTCATTTTTTGGAGCAAGAGCTCGCTATCTCGCACACGTGGTACAAAACAACATAATATACCGTGACGGCGAATGAAAGACGATTTCACAAATTAAATGTTCCGACGCAAACGGCTCATGCTTGATCCTGCAATTTGTATACAAATTTATTTGAACATCGTGTTAAATTATTAATACTTATAAATAAACTTATAGATATTAATAATTTAATATAAACCGTACATTGATTTATTTGTCACATTTTGTATAAATAAATTAAATAAAATAAATTAAAATAAAATTCGTTTTTCAATTAAACGCAATTAAATTTTACGCTTCGAGAAGTTTCATTCGAGATATTCAATCTCGAGCATTTTACAAGTACGAATCAGATCGATTAAATAAAAAAATAGTTGACGATTCGCGCATCTTTGGATCACGCATGGTTCGTTTTCGCTCATTCACTCATTACATTCGATATGCAACGATTAATCGTGATCCTCATAGCGAAGATCCCGCGCTCGATGGGGGGGCTTTCCGCCCCCATTTAAAAATAAGAACGACAATAACTTAGATCTCCGTAGCACATATCACATAAGCTATGCACAAGAAAACGAAGATAACACAACATTTGGAAAATATTCGATTAACATGGACGCAATAAGATACAAAAGAGCGTGTAACTCGATCCGCCTTTCGCTTTCTCTTTCCCTCGCATTTCTCCCGATCTCTCTCGGTCTTGGAGTCGCCTCACATTTTCGCGTCGTGCGCGCACTTTGATTGTATGCAGTATTTCTTTTTGATCGTGCATGACTCTCGTCGTGATAAATACACACTGTACACCTTCACTCTTCCATTCCGCTCTCGCGCTCTAGCCAGTCATGCTCTCGCGATTAATTTTATTTTGTCCGGCTCGAATATACACTTCCTGAGAAACGATGAGAGCTGCCTTAGTCTAATTTAAGAAATCGAGTTAATTAGCTAATCAGAAATTTCACTCCTAATTCGGACCAGAGCTTTCGCTTCGAGCTCAAAGAGTCCCGAATGAGCTGCGCGACGCGATTTACAAAGTCGCTTCAGTACGATTCGTTAACTCGTTAATAAATTAGTTAATTAAATACTGGTGAATTGCCCGTACTTCGTCGTGAGAAAGTCGAAGACTTGCAGATCGGCGAAAGGAATTTTCGTTTGTTGAAATTCAAATTAGTACAGAATGATTCAACTATTTCGCACTTTCCCCAATTAATTTACCTCGTTTGTCAAAATCTTTTGCAATTTGTTAAGACGCAAGAAAAAGATAATCAGCGATAACCCGAAATGAAATCTTTTAGTTATCCTTAAACTGATAATGTCGGGGATACGCTGTATAATTTATTCAAGACAATGAAACGAGAATGAGGGAAATCTCGAATTATAAATTGTACATTATTGCTGATGTTATCACCTAGGATTTAAGATCGAGAGCACGACTTTCGGGAGCGTCAGATTGGTGTAACAGTAGCGTTGCGCGATCAACAAATTCCCGCGGGGTATATAATGGCGAGCTCACACGTATCGATTTTCATGTATAAAAACACACAGCCAGTTGTTGCGCCGCGTGATTTTCAATTCGCGTGAGTTATCGTTAAATGAGATATCATTCCGAAGCTGCACCACAGGGGCCAGTTTAAAGCGGAAACATTTTAACATTGGAAAATTGCCAATAACGCCTTCACTTTATATATAATTTTTCAACAGCCGGACTTTAAATATTCATTCCCGTAAATTAATGGCAATGAAAACACTCGGAGAGTGTTCGTATCGTTGTAAATATTTCAAATCGAGTCGAATGACTCGATAATGACTCGATTGCGCTCGGATGCGATATTTTTGTCGTCGGCTATTGTATTTCGAAATAAATCATTTAATGATTTAATAACAAAATGGGAGCCGCCTGTGTTTGAACGACAGCTAGGAGTTAGTAATTAACATTTTTAACGATGGCATTTTTTTTTTAACTTAACGTTCGCGACAATCTTGAGTCGGTCTCGGTTACCGTCGATCGCGCAAGCCACTTTAATCTCGCCGGTTCGTACATATAAAATTATATTTACAACAGAGCGATTATTTCTTTGTGTGTGTTGAGGTATTCGCGTCTAGGCGCGTCTAAAAGGAGAGCGTGCACTATTTCGGGAAGCGAGAGGGAGGCTTGCAAGACGATATTCGGGGTCTTACATCCACTTGTATCCCGCGCGAGCCTCTCTCTACCACCCTCTCGCTCCGAAAAGGAAAGATACAATGAATTTTCCTTTTCCTACCTTCGTCGCGTCGTCCGCGACGCCGTGTACCTGTCGTTACAAATAATTTAAAAATTATACTCCTCCGTATTTATAATCTCTTCTCTTGCGCCTCTCTCCCTCTATACATAGCTTCTTCTTTTTTATATATATATATATATATATATATATATATATATATATATATTATATTAATTCAATTTCTTTTTTTTTCTCGTTCTTGTACGCGCACATGTACGGGAAAGAGTTTCGGTAACGATATCGTTATGGTACAGCTATGCTACACCGCGGGCGGAGCACCTCCAAACCCGGTTCTCTATTTACACTGCTCGCCGATTACCGTTTACTTTCTTACACGTACGGTATGTATATAAGGGATAACGGTACTTATACGGTGTACTATAACGTGCGCCTGTACATCCTAGCACGAACACTTTCCCCTCTCATTCTCTCGCGTCCTGCCCTCGCTTTGGTCTAATCTCGGATTGTATCAACAGCTTGAAATTATTTTACACTCTCGGTGTCACTTCATTCCGCTACGAGACGCAAAGGAAAAAAAGAAAAAAAAGAAAAAAAGGAAAAAAAAAGAAAACATATCTCTACGCGTCATAATGCTCCTTGTCTTCTAACACGTTTTGCGACTAGCTTGATTCACTGCGATTTATTTAAAGGCATCTCATTACAATTCGAAATTATTATTTTGTGTTTATATTTTTTCGTCGGCGGAACGAAATGACGTGCCGAGGAACAAATTAACGTTGGCTTGTCGTAATCGGAGCGAACCCGCGAGTCGTCCACGTGCGACTACCGATCGCGGACTGTTCACAAAAGCGCTTGGTATAATGACGGGCGATAATAATGCGCTTAATAATGAACGCGTGTAATTTGGGCCATTCGCGTGGAGTCGTCCGCTCGAGTCTTTGTCCGCAATAAAGCTGGCGTTCGCCAAAATGACGATTCGAAATGGAGCGGGGGGGTTGCGTGCGTGCCGACAATTTCGGCTCATGAATTTCCTAACAAGCGGTCTCTGTTACGTTATTAACAACATTGCCTCTGGCTTCTGTTTCGGGAAATAGCGATTCGTGATCGAGAAAGTGTTATTACCGGATTGGGAGGAAGAATTTTAATCGTCATCGGTGTCAAAGGGGACTTGGATACGAGACGTATCGTGAATCGAGCTTCATTGGAAAACTTTTTCGAATCAAGAAAGGACGCGTTCTCTCCTAAAAAAAAAAAAATTTATCGCACTTTTCCGCTTTCCGCTATTGAGCGATATCTACCGATGCTTCCGCGGTGCTCTTAGAGGAATTACAAAAATAAAAAGCTCGCGCACGCGCCCCGAAAATTTCCGGCTATAAAAGCGTGAAACACGTACGTGTATCTAGCGGCAGTGTAGCGATGATATTAGCAATACGTGTGGCATAAGTCTACAATTTCCGAATCGTATTATGCACGTTGGAATTTAATCGAGGCAGTATACCTGGGATTTATTTCATGAATAAATCGTATCGATTTATTACACTGGGTAGAACCAAATGGCAGTGGAACAAAAAATTTTTTAATTTCTTGGAAAATAAGGTTACCGATTTCCATTTATTTAGTTGAATAGATCACTAATATTATTTCTAGATTGCTTTATTATCGAAATTGTGTGATATTTTTTGCAAGATTTCTTTGCTTGAAAGATTGGCAAATGCATTTATCGTTGCTATTAGCATTGTTTACGTACCTTATAATAGATCATATAAAATCTCAAAAAGCTTTTTATTGAAATACAAGACATTTGATATATCGATTCCAGATTTGGAATGTCACGTTATGTGTTATGGTCTATTATAAAAATACATCGATCGCAAAAGTTGTTTTTATATCTTTTGTAAATAAGGAATCTGTTTTGAAACTAAAGAACAGGAGAATGCTTTTACAATAATCTGGATCGATCAGATTTCAACGTGCATATATCCTTCTTTCCCGCTTACGGATGATTCAAGGCGTTAATCTATTGTGCGTGCGTTTATTATTACATTTCAAGACTATCATTAGCAAGCGTGGGTGTCGCGTTGACGAGGCTCCCTAAAGCGTCGAAAAGTGATTATTATCGGACTAGATAACCGTTTAACACTATCTAATGTTCCCTATAAATGTGCGATCGGATCCGCTCCTCCGAGGGCGGGACAAAAATTACACGTTTCGTCGTATCAAAGTTTGTACGAAACTTGCCGGTCGGTTGAACACGCCCGACCGTTTAAGATAGGACTGGCAGTGGATCGGTTAATCGGAGGGGCGAAACATCCGTAATCGAGACCCGCTTATTTCGCAATTTGCACCGTTCATTTTGAACACCCTCGTTTATCTAGTTTAAAAATGTTATAATACATTTTAGATCTCGGTTGAAGAATCCAATTCTTACTGTCACTTTAAGAATATCAAATTTTATTTTACATCTTAGGATAAACAAATTTACAGATTTCTAATCTGTCGGGTTTCGACTTCGAGTATTTCGTACGTTTGTCTGTCTGCAAAGTTATCCACGAATCGCTGAGAAGAGCGACAGGACTGATTGCTTAGAGTAACTACGGAATTCTTCGCGATTGGCAGTCGCACGATCTGCGTTACAAGGAAGTCGGCTCGTTCCGCGGTTAACGCACTTTTTCTCTACATAAATTACAAAGGATTAGACTTAAAAAGTAATCATTAGCGTCCTTTGGTACCAGCCTGAGTCTCATTGGATTACAAATAGATTTGTTAGATAGTCTTGCGCATCAGCTACATGTATAAATCACTAAGAGATCACTGTATTTTTTTTCTAGTCAAGTCCGAATTGCTCGCCGGTTTTCTCGTCGCTTCGACGATCGAAGTCGTCGCTCGCTGTGACCGTAGCGACTTGACTCGCCGAAGCGACAAGAATACCCTTATTGACTCTTAACCGTGGACGTCGAAGTATCAAAATACAACAGTTCAGCACAGCCGAATCGGCGTCAGCCGCTCTCTGCCTTAACAAGCGCGCTCGATGAGCATCATCCGATCCTGACAACGTTGTGACAGGAACGAGGTCTCATCTCGTCTCTCTGTCCCTCTCCTCTCCTGTAACGAGAGCACGTCTCCGGGAAAAACACCTTCAGAGACGTTGCGACCGATCCTCCATTAGGACACAATGTAGTCCGCGGAGTGGTGCGAATGATGGGAGTTTCGTTGCTTGTCCCTGCGGTGGTTCGTCCGGGAGTTGCTGCCGCGGGTGCCGTTGGTGCCGTTGGTGCCGGTGGTGCCGGTGGTGCCGGACGTGTGATGGCTGTAGCCGCTATCGCTGCCGAAACTGCTGTCGGGCTGGCCCTGGTAGAGCCGGCCGGCGTTGTTCGACTGATCGCACGCCGAGTCCCGGGTCGAATTCGTGTAATAAACCGGCTGGCTGTACTTGTCGTCGAACAGCCGGTCGGTCGGCTGCGAATATGTGTCCGAGTATTCGCCGCCCACCTGGGTATAGAGCGGCGTCGTGACGTCTGGCTGGCCCTGCAGACCGTAGTAGTCGCCGCCGTATTGCTGCTGCGACGACAGGTACTTGTACTTGTCGTTGCCGGGCTTGCCATTGCGCGAGCGATCCTTGCCGCTCCTGTTCTGGCTGGAGTAACGATGCAGCGGGCCCAGCACCGGCACGCTCTCGTAAGGGTTTTCCTCGAGACGCGGTGCCTGCGCGGCCGGCAAGGGCGGCACGAAGTACGGCAACCTGTGCGCCACCGACGGGACGGACTGCTGACGTTGGGTGCTGTTGGTGCCCGTTCGCGCACCGGCCACGCCTGAAAGATGAAGAAGCGAGGTCAATCTCGGGGCTTTTGCACAGAATACCATGCCATAACGAAGTTGGGAAGTTAACGCGGACCAGTTCGGGAGGTAGGAAATCCAAATGGGGAAATTGAGATAGAAAGTCAAGATGGGAAAACGAAGAATAGCAGGTGGAGAGATTACTTACACAGAGAAGTATGTTTACATTTGGAAAGTTTCGATTTAAGTTTTATCAAATTCGATTCGGTTTCATCAAGAGATAAAGTAATAGAAAACGAAGAGTCTATATAGATATATCGCGACGGCTCGAATGAATCTGAGAACGTTATCGCTCGGATCGCGTCAGAGAGCTACGCACTCTAGGTAAACATTAAAATAGTAAATAGCTCTTCCAAGAGTAGGTAAAAAAGAAAAACGACCGAGTGAGCCTAAGAAATAAGGAAAAAGAGCAGCGGCGACGAGAGTCGAGAGGCCAATGTGTCGCCGGCCAATAACGTAAGAATGGTAAACAATTACGGAGCGGATAAGCAAACATCGCTTGTTAGTTCAGAGATGTTGGTTCAGCGCGCTACACAACTACGAAAAATCTTTCGAGCGGAATTACTTCCTTCGGGAAACACTCGCCGTAGTTCGACCTCTCTCCGCCGTCCTTTTTCTACACGTTTACACCGATCCGACGCGACTTTCCGTCAGAATATCGTTACAGTTTTCAGCCTCCGCGACTCACCCGCGACGCTAGGGTAGAGCTGAAGCAGCGCGTCGAGCAGCATACCCTCGTGGAACTCGCCCATGTCGTGACTCTTATCTCGTCTACGTCGGTCGAGGCTCCTGGGGCTGCGGCCACGTCGTTCGCGGGGTGGTCTACCACCGGCCGGGCACGTGCCCCAGGTGGGGCCGCTGCTCGAGGTGAGCATCCTCGCCTCCGAGGGCTCGCCCACCGACAGCTCGTCCTCGGCGAACTCGTCCTCGCTCGCCGGCTTGGACGCGCTGGACGTGCGGTGATGGTGACGGTGATGATGGTGATGATGGTGCAGACGATTGCGGGCGTTCAACTCGCTCTCCTCGTCCGTCTCCGGATGGTCCCCTGCGGGATCGAAATTCGTTTAAAGGTTTAACTTAACGGTACGACGATGATTGCCGGGATAAGAGCCGGGATTTCACTCTTCTAGCGGGACGGGAGATTGATTAATCGAGAAATAAAGTCTGTCTGATAATCGGAGAGGGTTAATTGAAAACGCCAGAAAATGGGAGTACTCCTTGGTGAATGCGCGATGGGAATTAATCAGGTAGATAATTGGCTCTGCGAAAGTAAATTATTTAGCAAGATATGTTTGAGAGAAGAAATATAGTAGATTCGTATGTATAATTATTCACACTCATATTTCTGTTGAGGGAATTCGGGTGGAACTGGTTTAAAACGTGATTAATAAACGGACGTTACATTTTAATTGCGATTTGACTGAGAAATTGGAATTAGTTTTGTAACTTTAGCATTAAATTCTGTTTCTCGAGATTCAATAATTGTTTTTTGAAATCGTATTATGATACTGCATTAATGCACATTAATTACTTTTAAATCTCATTCTCAAATTTGGTTAATAATATCGTATAATCGTAAATTATAATTACGATTATACCGATCCTGCCATTTTTATAATTCAAATAATATTAATTTATATTGTTTGTTGACTTACGAACTAATAACTAGTTTTTATATAAAATATTATAATTATAATAATTAAATAACACGAACAGATTAATTGCCAATTTTACTGTCACGCAGATTTTACACTTATATTCTTTTGAACGGTTTAATAAAAAAATTTCAGCGATTAATTAAAATTATTTTAAATTTGAAAGGAATTATTAAACATTCTTCTTTCAAATAAAGTGCGAAATTTATTTTTATTTTAATTAGCATAATTTGAATTTTATGTCATAAGAAGCACGATTATTTATTTAAAGAACACTTCATAAAATATCATGCAGATCACTGCAATCGCAATTCCATTCCAGATTACACATTGACCGACGAAGAGCAAGTTAAAACAATGGATTTGTCTGATCATAGAATGAAGGATTCGGTTTGGCTTGTGGGAACAAGCTGGACGGTAAGCTCGAGGACGAAATCGGTTTAGGACGAGGAGTCCTAACGTTGTAACAATTAAAGATTCCGCCGTCGAATGCAACCGGAGTAACCGAACGATCTATTCCGCTGATACTTCGGCAACTGAATTCAGCCTCGCGAATTGAATTTTCATCTCGTCGATTTGGCAACGCGAGAACTCGTTTTGGTCCTCCGTTAATTGCCTCACGTTATTCCGCCGAAATGTCGACGCTGAGCGCGAGCGTTCGGCCGCGATCGATACTAACGACACAACGGGGCGTGTACGTTTGTTACGCATGTTAAAAAAAAAAAAAAGAAAAAAAGAGGAATATTGTATAAATAATCGCGACGTAAAACGGAATCGGGGGTACGCGGCGCGGGTTGCCGACGATGAAATCGGCCGCCGTGAGAAATTGAACGGGCGCGTCCAATTAATTTTTATCTCGCGACAGAAACGCGGAAGAGAAGAACGCGATCGGTGGGGTCGATCGGAAACGAGGCGGGATAGAAGGGACGTATATCGGCCCGAATTATTCTCGAACAGATTGGAGGTGTTATCGGACCGGCTCCACTCTCGGCATTAAGTCCGCACTCCGCTGGCCATTAAACCACTCGAGATATCCTCCCCACCCCCACTCTCCCCCTGTCGTCGCGGACGAGTGTCCTCTTGAAATATCCTCCGTTGCTCTTGAAACATCCTCGGCGAGGATAGGAAGATGATCAGTTAACCGTCGACGATGATCTCGATCGAGACCCGAAATTTCGGTCTCGTATATCCCGGATTCTCGATTCCCGTCGTCCCCAGATTTCTCGCGACCGCGAAAATAGCGGGATATATGTCCGGCTAATAATAACAACTTAAACTCTCCCGAGATCAAATGAGCTAACCGTACAAGATAATTTGCATAATCCCGAAATATACACGTCGATTTCGCGTAAAATGATATTTTTTTCTTCCTTTTTTTACTGAAGTAATTTTCAGATCTTCGGGAAGGAGGTTTGAGATAATTCGAAAGGTGTGAGAGAACGCGTATCCAGAAATTACACGTGACGGGAGGTGAACAACTTCGAAATTATTAATATTACTTCTCGCACCTTAGAGAATTATTCCGTCAGGACACACGCCACTTTCCCTTCGCCAAGGTTCAATTTGATCAATTCCATGAATTTCGCGCAACGCACGCCGAGTTATTCTCCATGTCGACGCGATCGCCGAGCGGAGAATCCATTGAATTCCCTGGCCTTTTTACAAGCCCGCGAGGGACAGGACCACCCTCTACGAGATCGATGTTCCCTCTCTCATCTCTGGAGAACGACGATGCGTATATATATATATATATATATATATATATATATATATATAG